CAGTTTAGACCTTTACAGCTAAGCCTCTCTCGACTCTCGTTATTTCCATGTCAAATGTTCAAACCAGATACATTCCTTAGCTCCACCAGTTCAGACCTTTACAGCTAAGTCTCTCTTGACACTCTCCTTATTTCCATGGCAAATGTTTAAACCAACTACATTCCTTAGTTCCACCATTTCAGACCTTCACAGCTAAGCCCTCTCGACTCTCTCGTTATTTCCATGGCAAATGTTCTACTTTCTATTAAACATTCTTACTCTGTAACCCTATCGTTCAAACTGCTTATCATGCTAAATTATACTCTCTTCCAGAACTTTAATAATGATCAACTCAGCAGTATAAAACACACGTTAGCTCTGTGGGAGCTGAACAAATGAAAATATGTGTGGCAGCTATTATGTTATGTTATATATATGTATGTACATATGGCACGATTATATCTATCTATCAATCTACGTCAATCTGTTCATATCTATCTGTCTGTCTATCTATCTATCTATTGAGCTATCTATTTATCTTTGTTTCTAGTTATCATATTTTAGATCTTATATCTGTATATATGTAGGTATTACACAGCAATTACATCTATCTATCTCAGTTTGTTTATATGTATCTCAGTCTGTTCATATCTATCTCAGTCTGTACATATCTATCTCAGTCTCTATCTATCTATCTGTATATATCTATCTATCTATGCTTCTACTTTTCATATTTTAGATCTTATATCTGCATATATGTAGTTATGACAATAATTACATCTATTTCATTTCATTCATGTCTATCTATCTATCTATCTATCTATCTATCTATCTATCTATCTCCCTTTCTCTCTCTCTCTCTCTCTCTCTCTATATATATATATATATATATATATATATATATATATATTAAAAAGAAGAGGGTGCCGCAAACGTTTTTGGTTGTAATGTGGATTTATTGAGAAAAAATATTATACTTTGTTTTACATAATTTCACGACACGTGTTTATATATATATATAGGATCAATGCAATATCTCATCTATTGAGAATCCCGAAAACATAAAAATCTATATAGGTTGCACATGAGTTTAAAAAGAGATTCAATCAACAAACTTCATTTAGGATAAATAAATACAGAAATCAGACATCGCTTTCAAAGTATTTCAAGCACTTAAAGGAATCCAACAAAACACCTACAGTAAAATGGAAATTAATAAGAAAAGCTAGAATATGTAGGACATTAAATCACCCATGTCCTTTGTGCATACATGAGAAACTAGATATAACTAAGTTTATAAAAAATAAAAATTTACTGAATCATAGACATGAAATAGCTATTTTTTGCTGTCATTGTCAAAATTTTCCTTAAATAATATTCAAAAATAAAATTAAAAAATGGCAGCTGTTAATATACATACTTATATTTGATATGAAAAAGTAAATTTAAATAATGTAATTAATTCTATTACATTTACTTGTGTCTAAAAAGAAATATAGACTATTAGTAATTAAGAGAAAAAATATCTTAAAATTGTAGTTAAATAAAACGTATTCTAACCCTTTAATGACCCCTAGAAGGATTCTTTAAGTATATACAAGTAAGAAAAAAAAATGCCGAAAAACTTTTTGCCATTAATAATAATAAAAAACCTCGGACGACATGCATTTAATGGCTGTAGGAATTTGTTGAAAAATACACCCCTACCCTCCCTAAACTTAACCTTTTTTCGAACATTACTCATAATTGATACAACAATAGTTAATAAAAATGAACACGCTACCACCCCTGTCTGAATGATTGGATTTCTCTGTATCCTTGGAAACAGTAAATTATGAATTTATATGTGGGTTTAAAACTCAGTAAATTTAAAAATAAGTTATTCCAATATTCACATGAAGATGAAATGGAACTAATGCTTTTAATTTAATTATATAATTAAATTTAAAGTTTTAGCATCCATTTTTGAAACATGGTTATTGCTGTGTAGTGAAAAAACCATATTTTAAATCAGTTAATTTATAATATATATAGGATTATATATCATATCATCATATAATTTAATTTCAGATCTTATATGTATATATATGTCAGTATATAGATATAACACAATCCTATCTATCTATCTATCTATCTATCTATCTATCTATCTATCTATCTATCTATCTATCTCAGTCTCTTCATATCTGATTTTCAATCTCATATCTGTATATTTGTAGGTATAACACAGCAATCATGTATAGATATCTCTATATATATATATATATATATATATATATATATATATATATATATATATATATATATATATATATATTGGCAGTAGAAACCGGCGTTGCCGGGGGATGTAACAATAAGAATAGATCAATTATCGACCATCATAAAGACTGAAAAATAAAATTGACAAAGATTATTGTTTAAGGTTGACGGACGCATGTCTTAATTAGTTTTATTTTTTTTTTTTTTAACGAATTGGTCAAACCCAAAATCAAACAGAAACATTGTTTTCAATCGTTATGAGTCTACCGATTGAATAGAATTTTTTATTATAAACGATTGTCTTGTAAATAGAATTTTAAAACATTCTGAATAAAAAATAATTTAAAAAAAAAGTGCAAGACAATAAGACACACTACCTGCCAAAAAAAAAGTGAAGTTTTGTTGAAATCGGTTGAAAACTGTAGGAAATCCGATCCCATATATAAACGAACACACACACACACACACACACACACACACACACACACACACACACACACCCATAACCAACCTGGGTTTTATAATAAGTATCACTCGATATGAGTTGTCCTCCTTGCATTAATGCCTCTTAATCGTGTTTTCAAATTGATTTTGTGCAAAAATAATTGTGTTTTTCCAATTTTTGGCTCTGTCAGAACCACCGTAAAAGGTAATTTTACGTAGTCCTGTGAAGTTTTGTTGGAGGGGTTGAAAAATGTAGCAAATCCGATCCAATATATAAACGTACAGACACACACACACACACACAACCTGGGTTTTATAATAAGTATGATATATATATATATATATATATATATAT